GTACTGTGCGAATAGAACCAACTTTTTTCACGTGCCCATATGACCTTATTAATATGCGGTTACAAGCGCCGTAAAACTCTTACTAAAACAAACAATTCAATTGCAAATATCTTGAGTTCTTTTCTAGACGGATATTTATTTAATTAGAAGCAAGGCAAATATATTAGCTTTCAGATGATATCGATAACTCCACATGTTCAAAAATTGACGAACGCCTGATTCCACTGCGTCGTTACAAATTTCGTAGCGCGGATGTCCACCTAGAGAGCGTTATCTATATATAATATATTTGTGAAAGTCCGTCACTTTGGCAACCTAAAACTTTCCAACCACTTAACATTCGAATTTGAAAAAATTAATAGTGGTTCAGAATCATTCAAAGGGTGCACAGTTTTATTGATGAGTCTGAAATCACTGAAGTTTGATTTTCAGTTTTTCATTAGTTTCGTTTAGATCTAATCTTGGGAAAGTTCGTCTTTTGAATTTTTCCGGGATGGTGACCGAAGCCTACTCTAATCGATTTTAGACCACCAAGGGATCTTTAACGTGCCCAACTTGGACATGGAACATCCGAGATTGTTCGCCTTTGTCCGATAAGGCTAGGTGTAGATCTTTCCAACAAGAAAATCAATGGTGTCGCTGAAAGACAGCACTAAGATGGAGCCAAGGAGTAGCAGTAGAAAGGCTGCAAAAAGAGGAAGGGGGCAAAGGAGGTGAGGGGGTGGAGGTAGAAAGTAGAGGCAAAAGCGGATGATAGAACATTGGTAGAGAGCAGGAAAGGAGTTAAAAGAAGACAATTTCAAAGACGAACATTTCTCCGTCGCTACCCGGATTCGAACTCGGGACTTTTGAATGAGAGAAGAACACACAAGTTAACCTTTTGGCCACGAGAGGCCCCCTACATTTTCTGACTGTTCCCCCTGATATCGTGTAGACCACCATAATCCTGTTGTTCCTGTCCCTTGTGAGCTTTCTTTTGGCCTTCAGCCTATCACTATCATCCGACAGAAGAGAACTGACAGGCCCGTCGTCATCTCTATATTTGTGTCCAGTGTTTTGACAGGGTGAGGAGAATATATTCTGTGGCGGTTCTGGTAGTGGTGGTAGAGAATTAATAATGGTTGTGTTGGTTGTGGTGGGGGTGTCGGTTGTGGTGGTGGTTGTGATTGTTTTGTTGGTGGTGGTTGTTTTGCTTGTGGTGGTAGTTGTGGTGGTGGGGGTGGATGTCGTGGTTGTGGTGGTGGGGGTGGATGTCGTGGTTGTGATGGTGGGGGTGGATGTCGTGGTTGTGGTGGTGGGGGTGGTTGTCGTGGTTGTGGTGGTCTCCCAGTGCACAAAGAAGCGCTAGGAGTCTGCCCGTTCCCCCAGTGGAAAAAAAAAGTTTGAACAATCTCTGAGATATTCATTACGCTATGTAACTGGTGTATCTGCAGTGTCTTTGGCCATTTCCATGAGAGGGGGGGGGGCGAGTTCAAGACTGGCAAATTCAACAAATCCAGTTTGACGAATCTTCACAACAGATATGATGATAAAAGAGGCTGTCAGGGGTAGTAACTACACAAGGAGTGCAGGAGGATACAATTGCAGGACGAGGGAGAGAATAGATCAATAGCCCAAAAAACAGCAACAACAACTTCAGTAACAACACAAACAACAACAGCAATAGCAACAACACCGACATCGACGAAAAAAGTATGGTCAATATCTGAATAGCAAAAAGAATCGCTCAAAACATTTTTGGAAACAAACAAAAAAAATGTATGTGTGTGTACGTACGGATGTGTGTGTGTGTGTGTGTGTG